GAGAGAGAGAGAGAGAGAGAGAGAGAGAGAGAGAGAGAGAGAGAGAGAGAGAGAAGAGCCTCCCCTAGACAGGTCACAATCGAGAGAGAGAGAGAGAGAGAGAGAGAGAGAGAGAGAGAGAGGGAGAGAGAGAGAGAGAGTGAGTGAGAGAGAGAGAGAAGAGCCTCCCCTAGACAGGTCACAATCGAGTGAAACTGAACCTGCTACCTCCCCTAGACAGGTCACAATCGAGAGAGAGAGAGAGAGAGAGAGAGAGAAGACAACTTACCAGGCTAGCACTATTATCCACCTTTATTGTCGTAGCCTCCGCAGAGAATACACTCTCGGAATGTGGTCAAGTTGAACGAACTATTTTTTAATGGTGTGCTTAACATTGCCTGTGGGGTTTGTAGTTCCGTCAAATGCAGTGACCCATCCAGACAAGATCATAAACTGATTTCTTAATTTTCTGTAGATTGACCCACAAAGGGATTTGTTTTGTCTGACCTCTTACAACGGAACTCGTTCCGAGCACAGAAGGAGAGGAAGATGAGACTGAAACACTGGTGATGGATGGAGGGATGGAGATGTGAAGCTTCATAGTTGGCACCTCAGAAATGAACGCATGTTGGGAGTGCCAGGAATGATTGCCACAATTAGAGAATATACACTTGAGCTCAAGCTGAGAGGTTTCAAAATCCAGTCTGAAAAATACATAGAGTGAGGTTCTCATCTTTAACAATACCTAGGCTGCAAAGGCTAATTGTCAAACATACAGATGTACACAATTTTGGGTGTATTAGGTGCTATAGTCTTAGGAATAATAGCTACTTTAACTAACAAAAAAAAAGAACCAAAAATAGTCATAATCAGATATGCTTGAAAGAGTTCTCAGATTATCATCCGTTTCAACTTTTCACTGACTTATCACTCAAGATTTCACCACCTCAGCCAGATCCACACCCAGACATGGGGAATCCAGATCCACACCCAGACATAGGGAATCAAGTCCACACCCACACTCAGACTATCTCAACTGAAGTGACTACCAAGAGTAGGGTTTCACATTCAAACAGTTTTCATTAACCTCAAAATACATCCAGGGTCGTAACTATGTTAAAGGTGATACGAAAGTGACTACCAAGAGCAGAGTTTCCCATTTTACCTGGACAAACTTGGCCTTGTAGGTATGTAGTATGGTCGTCTTGAAGGAATGGATTAGAGCATCAAAAGCCTGTAAGAGGAGAACACATAGGAAGGATATTTTCCACAGAAGAATAAACTGTAAGCGGAAGCAATGAAACACGAAACCGTGTCACGAAGGGAGGAGCATGAAGATGTCAACGGAACCCTGTCCTATACAACATGACAGATGACAACTCGCGACAGTCAATTAAACTCGCAACTGTTGACTATGCTTTGTACACGGCTTGAGAGATTGGAGAGCCATGATTGATGGTGTTCCGTAAGCAGCAATGAGTACACGATCTGGAGGGTCACAATAACACTGCTGTTTCTGCACCAATCTGTCATCAATGAGGGTTGTGTATGGTTACAGTGCAGACGAGCTAGTCCGCTGTTTTGGGCTTCTGATGTGGCTGCCTCATTGGCTGTCAGTATTCCAATAGACAGACACAAGGGTGAGTTTGACAGCATGCCACACTTGCCACCTTCGAATGGAACGAGCTGACTTTGAAAGCGAGGCTGAAGAGCGCCGGTACAGGACAGCAGGCCGTGCTGAATATCGTTATCTGACTGTTGTCCGTCGTTAAGAGACAGGCATGGCAACGCTTGTGATTCAGGGTGTTATTCAGAATTCCATTCATCTGGACCCATCCCGATTTAACCTCAGGTCGGTAATTCAACAGTTCATGGGTGTACCAACTGAGCTAGGCCCATTGGTCGATTTCTCTTCTCTCTTTTGGTTGTCCAAGCTTCGAAATATTGCATCTAGCCACAGTGAAAACATAGCGTTGTGCTTTTCTGAGTTTTTGCTGCTGATCTGTGTGGTTGCTGGATTCCCACTGTTGGAGTGTGTGTCTGGTACGAGTGCTTGCTGATGTCTGTGTCCCGTGTACTTACCTGCCTGTCAGAGAACTTGTGTGTTTTGGATTTTCACCACAACAGCCCCTATTCAGAGAACTTGTGTGTGTGTCTGTGACCTGCTGATGATGGTCTGTGTGCGGCCTGGCACTAACCCTGTGGCCGTGTGTGTTTTGGGATGCAGCAGGTAGGGTAGAGGATACGATGAAAGGCCTTCCACGATTCAGACCCCAAATTCGAGTTTCAGGGGCCGAGACCTGGGCCAAGAAAGGTCCAGTCGGTCAGTTTCAGAAAAGTCACAGTCGGGTACCTTAGCAGTCAAGTCCAACAGGAACCCGGCAAACAGTCATATCTCAGGAGTAAAATCACGTCTCATAATGAAAACATTGAAAAGTCATATCGGAAAGTCACATCCCACGGGCAAAGGACACCTCCACAGGCGAAAGTTGTGTCCCAGAGGCAAGAGTCACAGTCGACAGTCACAAACCATGTTCCATAATCGAAAAGTCATGACTCAAACACACCAACGAAAATCTGTAAAGGTACCAGGCCCTGACATTCGAAAGCAGACAGGCCGTGGGGATGTGGTACCGGAACCAAGTCAAGCCCCAAGAAGCAGAGGCTGGCGAAGTTCGGTCCAAGACAATATAAGGACTGGCCAGCCTCCTCATTCGGAGATGGCAAATTCGCATGAAGTGTTGAAGTGCTGGTGCACTTGTGTGCTATTGTGAGTGCTGGAGCGCTGAGTCAGAGAGCTGCGCTGTTATATATATATCGTCACAAACAGAACTGCCCGGTAAAACCGTAGGCAGAGAGAGAGAAGAGGACAACAAACGAGGGGCTATATTGTCACATCACTACAAACTAAAAGAGCGCACTTTGTGGAACAAAGAATAAAAGCAAAAAACGGGCACAGTGATAACATGCAAAAATAAAAATAAAAAGAAAAACAAAAAGAAAAAACAAGGGCAGATTGAAACCATTAAATTTCTCATTCTTCTTTGAACTCCA